GTGTGCAGGGACACACGGGCCCTACTGCTCAGCCCGCAGCACTCCTGCACATGCACCCTGCCAGGTCGACCAACTGAACACAGAGACGTGCTGAGACGCCAGGCTCAGCCCCCAGCAGCCACTCACCCCGAGACCCCGGACCCGGAAGCTACAGGACAGGATGTGTTCACCACTTCAATTCCATCCTAAGTGCAGTTAGTTAAGTTAACAGACATAAACACAGCTCTCAAACTCCACTATGAAGGGGATGGGAGCAGGCCAGTGCTGCACGGGGACACGCGGAGCTGGATGCTAAGGAACTCCAGTCGCTGGCCCTCTGGGTAACTCCAGGGGGAGCAAGAGAGTGCATGCGCTGGGAAGGGCCCAAAGGGAGCCTGGCTCTGGTCTCAAGTTCAAGGGCTCTGCAGAGAAGGAAGCAGCAACCCCTGGGACACCGAGGAGCTAAGTTCTTCAGTGATCACAGAACTGAGTTAGTCCAGGAGGCAGGATCTGCACTTGTCTAAGAATATTCCTTCCAAAAGAGTAAGCTCCAGGAGTTGGTGATGGACAGGGAGGCCTGGTGTGCTGCAGTCCATTAAGTCGCAGAGTCGGACACGACTGAGCAACTGAACTGATTCCTTTCAAAGCCTTAGCTCCACACCTCCCCAGTGACGCAGGCGAGTAAACTCTCCCTCTCGGGCCCTGCTATCCACGGGGGCACAGAAACACCCCCGCCCCAAAGCCATCAGCTCTCTGGGCGCTCTGCGGAGATGAGCCAGGCTGGCGGAGAGACGTCGAGGTGGGGAGGCTGCCTGACCGCAGGGCAGGGAGAGGCAAAAGGAGGGACGTCGGCGGGGGGGGGCGATGAGGAGCTGCAGGGGGAGCCTGGGCGGGAACCCAAGGGCACAGCCTGGCTTCTGGGGTGAACAGTGAGGCTGATCTGGGGGCTTGAGGGCCTGGGGACCTGGCTGGGAAGCTTCACAGAAGCCAGTGCAGAAGGAGCCCCTTGCCAAGCTCGTGCCCTGAGCGCTCACAGGGCCTGATCCTCTTCACCCACCACCTCTTCCCTACATGTGGGGCCAGCTGGCACATAAACAGAAGGAAAACACGGGCAGAGGGGAGAAATAAACTGACGGGAGGCACACGAGGCCTCCCCAGCACTGCCCTGGAGAGGCACAGGCCTGCTGCTCAGCCCTCCTCTGCGCTTTCCAGCCCAGCCTTAGCTGCTGCCGGACTCCTTCCCGTTTTCTGCTTGTCCAAACTCCAGCCTCGATCACCTGCCACGTGCCCGCTCCCCACTCCACCAGGCTGCCCAGTGGGCACCCTGACTCCCTGGTGCCCTGCCTGGCGAAGGCATAACCACAGGATCCCGCCCCCTACATCCAGGGCTCAGAGATTGTGGGGGCTCCCCAGAGCGTGGCTTTTGGGGTCCTTCTCCATCAGGCCCAGCCCTCCTCACTGCTCTCTCTGGGCCCTGCCCGCCTCTGCCCTCGAGCTGGCCTCGAGCTCACCACAGACAGTGGGGGCCTCTCCCTAGAGTCTTTCTAGCTCCTGCAGCCTCCTCCATGCCCAGCACTTAGCACTCGCCGCTGTTACCAGTGCCCTGTGTGCGCATTCTCCCAGCTAGACAGTCAAATTCCTTAAGATGCCTACATTATCTGCTTATCTGATGTCAGATCCATTCCTTGTAGGAAATGCAGAAAATCTATTTCACTCTCAAAAAGAAAACAAAGCCATAATCCCCCTGAGATAACGAACCGTGGAATACATTTTTGGCTTACTCCCTGCACTTCAAAATGTTTCTTATTTTGAAAATTAAGAATATGTTGCACACAGATTTTTGTGTCTCAGTTTCTTCACTCAACACTCCAAGGTGAATGCTTCTCCACGAGACAGTCTTGAGAACCTTTCTAAACGTCCACCCAACCCCAGCAAGAGGAGCACCGCTGCTGACTCCACGACACTCCAGTGAGTGGAGGTCAGGCCAAGTCCCAGATACCGGACCTGCACCAGCGCGCTTGAGATACACACTTGCCAACCACCAATTACCTTCTTTCCGTGCTGATTAAATGCATTTCCTCCCTTCTCCTGAAAAAGCGCATTTCCTGTGGACAAGATTTGTGGTGAAACAAATGGAACTGGCTTCGATGCACGAGCCAGCGTGGTGGGCGGTGAGCCGGACTCCCCACCCTGGCTCCAGGGTCGGGGTCAGCCCTGTCACCCTGGGGGCGCCTGGCAGCCCCGGCTGCCCTGCCCCTGCCCCCTGCGGGCAAGAGAGTGTGAATCAAGTTCCAACTGCAGCGCTCACTGGTTCGGGTCAGGTCTCACATCACAGGAGGAAGAGCCAAGGGAAAGAGGGTGTTGGGCTCAGACAAGACAGGACCCAGGAGGCTGTGACAGAGATCTTCCATTTTCTCACGCTTTAACTGTACTCTGCGTGGCCCCCGAAAGTAAACCTGGACCCAGGGACAGAAGCCACAAGGAAACAGATTTGGCTCAATATAAAGAATGGTCTAAACCAGCCTGAACGATGCAGAGCGTGAAGGGACTGTGCCTTTCCAAGGGGGGGGGGGGGCTGTCACTGGGAAAAGGGCAAAGCTCATCTGGAAGGACCTCAGGCACAGAGGGGAGGATGAGACCACGTGGGGTTTAGGTCCCTTCTACCCTGAGAGGGAGCAGAGTGACTCTTGCAAACGCCCTAGACTCCTCCCACAACTCAGAGGACCTCGTCACAGGGAGATTCCATAGCAGCCCTTGGTCTCAGACATTCCTACTACATCTAGAGCCTGGCTGGCTTCCTGGGAGCCACTTGTGCATCTTGTAGAAGAGTCTCCCGGGCATTTCATCACGAAGGGAGACATTTACAACCTACTGAAAACCAAACCACACAGGGATAATGCCACCAGCTAACGCGGTGTAAGTTACACCATATGCAACAAGGGAATGTTTCTAAACAAAATGCTCCCTGCTTACGTGTCCTCTTCCTCTCTTTTCTGGTTACTAAAACTTAATTAGCCTTGCAACCCATCTGGCAACTTACATGCAATTACCCAGGATACTGTGCACGGCCACTCAGGCCACTGAGGGCCTGAGAAGTGACATGGTAGACTAAGGTGCAATCAGCCTTCCCGCCTGCCAGCTGCCCCTCCGGAGCTGAGAGGACAGAGGGGAACGGCTTGCACCCAGGGCAGCAGGAGGGGCCAGGAAGGCCCTGGAAGAACTGAGCTGCGGGCCTCCCTCAATGAGCCCCTTCCCAAACAGAACAGATGCGTTCCAACAGAGGCCCCGCCTCCTGCGTGGATGTCTAGCCCAGGGCCACACTTCTTCCCCAGGTGCCCGCCCACCTACTTTCTGGTCGGAGCACAAGGAGGGGCAGAGAAGCAGTTTTGTTTGTTTTTTTTTTAAGTGAAGCAGTTTTAAAGGAGTCTTTATACTCACAGAATGGGAACCTTAACCTTTCCAGACCAGCAAGAGGAGGGGTGAGAAGTCAGGAGCTCAGCCTCTAAGATCCCCCAGCGCAGGGAGGGGACACCCACGGCAACCCTCCCTCTCTGACAGGCAGTCTGAAGAAGGGCCATGCTCAGAGACGGAAGGCCCCTCACTGGCCGGCACCAAGGGCCCAGTGCCTGCCCTTACTGGCTGAACGCCCACCTCTGTTTTGGCCCCTTACTGGCCTTCCCCAAGGAAACTGGTAAGTCAGGCATTAGGTTGTAATAACCATAAATATACTCAGTTCAACTAAAAAAAAAAACTATTTTAAAACTTAGTATTTTTAAAAGCTGAAAAATAACTGGCCTCAAGTCGGCTCAGGAAGGGTGGTTTGCAGCAGGCTTCACTGTCTGCCCTGGGACAGAGGCAGCCTGGTGAGGTGAGCTGTGCCAGTCAGGGTCCCCTACAGTGCCTCAGGCAGCTCCCTGGGTGGCCCACTACTTGGGAGGTGCCCAATGCCACCCCATCAGTGAGAACCCTAAAGAGACCCTAGCTGGACAGGAAAGGGCAGGGGGAGCCCTGGGTCCACTGACCATCACCTTCAATCACGGCAGCCGAGGGGGCTGGGTGGTCAGGATCTGCTTCAGGGAGCGGAGGCACCTCAGTGTCCACTCAGGACTGTACCCTGGAAATCGTGAGAGGCAGGACAGGCCCACCCGGAAGCAAGGAACCTCAAACCAGCTCCCAACATAGCGCGGGCAAGAAGGCGACTTCAAGCATATAAAAGGCACCTCTCCCACGTCCCTCAGCCACCAGTAAGAAGCAGGCCCCTCGGACCGGAGTGGCAGGCTCATGTCCTACCCCCAGTTCCCAGAGATGTGAGCACACATCTCAGGGCTGCTGGGAGGGTCAGTGAGCGCCTCCCCGCACCCAAAGTGCTAACAGGACGCATCAGCTCTGCCCCCACCACTGCGCAGGACGCCCGCCCTGGGACAGCCAGGACTGCTAAGGACCTGAGCCGAAGCCCCCACCTGACCCGCCCGGGAGCACGTCTGGGGAGGGCTTCCAGAGGAGGGTCGGGCATGGGCAGGCCGCCCACAGCTGCTTCTTGGACCTGCACAAGGAGCCCTGGGTCTGGACCCAGGGTCCTGATGGCCCCTGCTCCACAGAGAGGACACTTAGGTTTTTCTCTTTCTGAGCTGTTGTGCTTTGCAAGAAGAGTGCAAAGTTACACCTCAGTAAAGCAGCCGATCCTTCCCACCCCTGCTCAGTCTCTCCTCTGGGCCACCCGTGAGGTCACCAGGCCTTCCTGCTGGAAACCTGCAGACTTCAGTGACCACAGGCTTGACGATAAAGTTTTGGGGAACAAAGGGAGCTTCTGGTGTCTGGCTGGGATCTGAGAGGGAGACAGGACTGGACCAAGGGATGTGTTAGGGACACTACTCCGAGGCGAACTTGAAGAGTTCTCCCAGCAGGGTGTGCCCAGGGCAGTGCTGAGAATGCGGGGCCACGCTGGCCACCGCCGGGTCTCAGCCGCGCGGCCCCTCTTCCTTGGGGTGCGGGAGCGGCCTCCCCCGGGGCTGGGCACTCACCAGGAAGCGGACATCGTCAAAGCCGTTGAGAAGCAGCCTGCTCTCATACTGCTGCAGCCCCACGGCCTCCAGCCACTCCCCGACGCTCTGTTCCAGCGGCCGCGCACCTGACGAGAGAGGAATCGGCAGACGCTTGAACAGGGAGAAACCATCGAGGCGGTAGCAGCGGCACTCGGAGGCAGACAGACGACACTGCCACACCATCGTCATCACCACGAAGCGGCCACACTCGGGACTGGAGTCAGGCGGGCGCGCAAGGGCGCCGGGCGGCTGCCGCCCACTCCCTCACCCCCCGGGGGCTGGCTGCCCGGGGGCTGCGCACCGCCCGCACGGCCGCAGCCCAGGGGCCAGAGGAGCCGAACCCCCAGGCTCTCCGGGTCAGCGCTCGTCCGCCTGCACGCAGGAATTTCAAAGTCTGTCCCCACAGGCCCCAGAAGGGGCGGGGGACGAGGGACCAGTCCCACGACCTTGCAGCCCAGGCCGGTCAGGGGCGAGCGCGCCTCTTCATGCAGCGGAGGGACACAGGCACAGCGACGGATCCGCGCCCGGCCCCGGGCAGCCAGCGCATGCAGCCCAAGCAGCAGGACCCCTGCCCGCGGAGAAAGGAGACTTTTACTTGTCTTCCCCCAGCAGTCCCGGAACAAGCAAACCATGGCCACCAGCCTTTCGTGCGCAGAGGCTCAAGGCGGTGAGGGCCGGGCAGGCGCATGGGCCAGGGCTGGGGGCCGGGACCCCACTACACTCCGGCCGCCGCCGAGCGGGGCGTCTCCCGGGCCAGGTCGCTGTCCGCGGGCCAGCCTTCCCGGGCGGGGCTGGGCGGCGGGGGCTGGGCGTTCATCTTCCTCTTCCGACGGTGGCTGTTCCCGTGACTAGCCTGCTCCGGTGGAAAGCAAGCGGGCAGATCCAGCTCTCAGCTAAAGAAGACAAAACCCAGCCCAACACAACAGAGAAAGGCAGCCGTCCTCTGTCATCTGTATGGCTCGAGTCTATTTCCCGTTCGGCGCTGCTCTCTCTCTGGCCGAGTGATAAAGACGGCAGCTGTCTTCCCAGCGTCTCCGGGGCTTGCCCCCCTCCTCTGAGGATGAACATGAAAGGGAGGACCTCATTTGCTCTGCTCCTTGGGTAGGACCGGGAGCCTGCGAGTGCAGGAAGAAGTTCAGCCCTTCCTGGAAGACCGTGGATGCTCTGAGCTGATCACCTTAACCCCATCTACTACTCCAGTTCTCATGGGCAAGAAGAGATGAAAGAAGGAAAAAGGAGAACCAACTACAAAAAACGTCACCTCCGGAGAAACCTTGGCTCGGTGAAAGTCATTCTGGTGTTCCCAGCACTTTCTGCCCCTGCAGGCAGGCCAAGCGGCTTGGTTTAGGTAGGAGACCCTGGTGACCCACTGTCCCAGGCTCCCCCTCCTCTGTCCTCTGCAAAACAGATGGTGGTCAGGGCTCTGGCGGCCAGCCTCCCGAGGCACACGGTAGCAGCTCTGTGGGATGCCGAGTCTGGGGGCAGCCTGGGACCCCCCTGCCCCGGAGCGGGGCCGTCTGCTCCAGGAACCTCAGCAGTGGGCTTCTGTGTGCCTGTGAAATCGAGTGTCCCTCGGCCGCTGATGCATTCCTGCTCACAATCCCCTGGCCCGGCAGCCGCAGTCCCGCCTGCTGCCGGTGGCCGTGAGGCGTCCAGAGCCGCAGCAGAATGCTTTGTCTGAAGGCTCCTGGGCTCCACGCTGCCTGCTGCCGGCTCCACAGTCCTTGCTCACTCTCCTAACGTCTGGCCCTCCCCCTCCTCCCCTCCCCTCCCCCCGCCCTTTCATACTCAGGAAAATGCATCAGGGATCGGACATCGTGGCAGAAGCTGCTGCTGCTGCCACCAAGGGAAAAGGAGACAGCAGCAACCAGCACGGGAGCAAAAGGATGGATTCTCCAACAGATTCTCCAGTATCTGCTGTTGGCCACTGTGCACATGTACGAAAGCCAGAGACGGCCGAACTTTACCTCCAGCTCCAGGGGCTGCAGACAGCTGATCAGGGAGAACAGAGAAGGAACATCCTACAGTTTTGGCCGATAGTTTCTAGGACAGCCAGACAGGGGTCAGAGGAGTGACGCTGACCTGAGGGCACAGCCTGTAGGTGAAGTCACCCCCCCCCATCACTTCTGGAATGACTGTGCCTCTCTGCCAAGAAGGTAAGCCAGGAGGTATCACAAAAAACAGGTGGCAAAATAAGGACAGGACAACAGAGTTCTCAGGTGAGTGCACCAAACAACTCAGGAAATGACTTCTCTCCAGGCCGTGAGCACCCAGCAGAGAAGCGCCAGGCCCACAGCAGGCTGATCAAATTAGGAGGACGAGGACACAGTACGGGGGCGCCAAGGACGAGTGGAAACCGGGACCAAACCTCCAGCACAGCCGCGGAGACAAAAGCAGTAATGTGTACACGGACGCAAACCTGGGGACCACACGCCACCCTCTAAACGTGCTGGGAGACAGCTGCCCCCCAGCAGGCTGGCCCGCTGCTCTCCCGGACACACCTACTCAACCACTGAAATGGCTGACTGCAGCAAAAGAAAGTCAAGCGTTTTCTTTCACTGGCTGGACAGCACAGGCCTTTGATGAAAGCAGCCAGAGTGGGCTGGGCCGGGCAAGGCCCGCCCTCCCTGGACTCCGGACAGTGGGATGAGCTGGCGATCAGGCCTGTCGGGGATACAGGTCACCAGCTCCAGAGCCAGCCACTCTGGGGCCCATGGCCCCAAATAAGAGTGATTAAAGCACTGTCTTGGGGTCTCGGCTTTCAGGACACGATCCCCTGCAAAACCAGTCACAGCCGGCAACGCCCTGCTTAGCTAAGGGCTGCCTGCCTGTGAGCCTGCTCCTCCTCCCGGGAAAGTGACCCCTGAGTCCAGGGCTCCTCTCCTAGACCCAGAAACCAAGGACGGTTTGAAATCTGATACTGACCATTCAAAATGAACAAGAAATCTACTTGGGGCTTAGCTGAAGGCTGGTGCTCCCTGAGGTCAAAGTGTTCCCCACCCCCCGACACATCGGATAGAGGTTACGGGCAGGCCTGAGCCCCACTCTGTCCTTGAGCCTGGCCACCCCGCAGACACTGCAGGCTGGGACTCTGCAGTGCGGGTGGACGCACCCTCTGCTCAGGGGGCCACCTCTGTGTACTCACCCTCAACTTTCCCAAGCTGGGGTCTGGAGGATGCTACTCAGCGCTACTAAAAACACTGTGTGTTGGGACCAGAAACCTAGGCGGGCAGCGGACCACCTCTCGCCATTCACGTGGGTTCACGGGGGGTGAGATTTGGGGGGTGGGGCCCACAGGGGAAGGAAAGGGCTCACTGTCACCAACTCCAAGAAGGGCTCTTCCAAAAGTGCTTTCCAGAAGGGCTGTTGCGTCTCCTGATTCACCAAAGTGAAGAGGTAATGGCCTGCTTCTGCACCAGCCTCTCGAGCACACACAACTGATGCAAGCTCCTCAGACGCAGAGAGGCACAGGGAAGCAGAGAGCCGCCTCAACTGAACTGACTGCAGCCAACCCATCCCCGCTGCCCCTAAAGCACAGCTTTGAAAATGACCACAGTGTCTGTCTCGGTCCTAAACATTATCCCCAATAAACACTTGCTCCTGGAAAAGACTGCAAACTATAATTAAGCTCCCCGGACTGTATGTGGGCAAGTGCCACGAAACAGAGCCACAAACTCTCAGCCAGGAGAGCCACCTGTGCAGACCTCCCGCACAATCCATGACTAGTAAAGATGGACCTGACCCAATCGGGCCTTCTCTGCTAGAGCGCAGGGAAACAGCGCTGCTGAATGGAGGGTGGCTCGAACCCAGTGGATTTCTCAACATGAGGAAGTAATTGTTTCATGGACAAAAACAGGCATCACTACTATTTACTGAACACCGCTTTACCTCAAAGATTTGTATGTATTACTTATCCTTAACAAATGAAAAGAGGTAAGTACTATTATCCAAATGTCGTAGATAGGAAACTGAGGGCTCAGAGGGAGTGAGCACCTTGCCCTGGACACACGTGCATCTAGAATCAGGCTTTGAGACAGGGCCGAGGCCCCCGCAAGGCCCGTGGCCTCACCAGCAGCTTCCTCGCTGAGGTGCACACTTGCCCCGTCGTCCACCAGACTTCCTGCCGGGGCCAGGGGCCCATGCGGGAACGGCCCATTCCACTCTGGGCTCACAGGTCAGTCTTGGATGGAGCCTCCCGAATGAACATGGAAGCCGCCCCGTAAGTGCAGAGGGACCCTTCCCTGATGACGGCAAGAGGCCAGTTCCTAGGCTGCTGTCCGCGCAGGTGCCCTGGTGGAAAGGTGCCTTCAGAGGCTTGAGGGGAGGGTGTGAGAGGTGCTCTGAGAGGCACCGTAAGAATGTCACCTCACCTGAGCAAGCTGCGTAACCATAATTCTATCACCAAGGAAAACAGCGCAGGTAGGGCCTCCCTAGTGCCTTTGTTTCAAACAAAGGAAACGGAGGTAGAGCTTACCTGTAGGGCTTTGAAATGAAAAGAATACCCCAAGTAACAGTGCTCTGAAGTGAACATGAATAAAGGGAAAAATGGAGAAACAGACAAGGAGGGAGCAGCAAATCCAACCCTTCCAGGTGATGCAGGTGAACAACCCACGCCAGGGCACTGCCACTGTCATGGGTCAGGAGGGCCCGAGCCACGTTCCCGGGGAGAGGCAGAGCCGCCCGGGAGGCTGGGACCAACTCGAGGAGCACCCACAGTGAGCCATCCAGAGAAAGCCCACGTTTAGGAAAATAACAGTGACAGTTCCCTTTTTAAAACGGAGCTTCCTCACAGTCAGCCTAAGATGCCTCTGTCCACTTTCCACTCCACTATGCAAAAGGAGTCATGGCTCCTAAAAATCACAGCTGTGTGGGTGGTGTAGTCGCGAGTGTGACGTGGTCTGGGCTGACCTCGCTCACCCCCAAACGTCTGTCGTCTGGGTCAGAGAAACGTCTGAGCCACAAGGGAGCAAAAGGGCTGTGTCCCGCGGGGGAAACGGCTGCGTGGCACGGTACCTGAGATCCTCTGCTGTTCCTGAGAAAAGTCGATCCCTTCTCCAATAGAGCTCATGATCTTCTCAATCTGAGATGGAAGAGAGAGGAACAAGACAGGCTGTGAGGCTCAAGTCAGACACTGCCAGCTCACCAGCAGCGTGTGCAGGGGCAGGCCTCCAGGACTCTTCCAGATGACGCCAAGGTCCAGCACCAACCTGCAAGGTTTCAGAGTCATGTTCAGGTCAAGAAAGGCTCTTCTCTGGCCCCAGCCCCCAAACGTCTAAAGACGTGGTCTGAAGGGAGTGAGTGAGTAACAATTGGGGCTCAGCTACTGGAAACGCCCAAGAGCCTCCCTTCCAAGGCAACTGATACATCACTTCCCCCACCCTCCGGCCTTTCCAGACCCAGTGGAGACTGAGTAGAAGGTGTAAGAGCAGGCCAGGGCAGGCACCCTCCACTGCTCCTGCTAGAGTCTAAATTCCATGAGGACGGAGTCTGTGCCAGCTCTGTTCCGGGCTGTACCCCCAGCACCCAGAGCAGGGCCTGGCAATTCGTGAGCACCTAACAGATAATTGCTACTGCATGGCCACCAGCTCTGAGTTGTAGGGACATTTTCCAGAGCTCAGACCAGCAGAGCCCCGGAATGAGCAGGTAACCCTGAACGGAGGAGCTTTTGCTCCCTGGAGTCGGGCGGTCCTGCACACAGCTCCGCATTGAGGGGAGAAGAGGGCAGACACGTGTCCTTCCCCTGGACCACAGCACACAGAGCTGGTCTCTGAGCAGCCAGATGTCTCCAGCATTGTTCCCCACATGGACCACCTGTCCCAGCCATCTGGCATTGGTCACTCGGAGCCAGATCCAAGCCCCTTGCTCCGGGAAACCTGGCCAGGGGCAGGACCAGGAGGAGGAGTCCCTCGCCTCCCCGCCCCCCCCCTCCCCCCAGCATAGTGGTGATAATGAGCTCATTCACTGCTCTTTTTCTAAAGAAAGGAAAAAAGACCTTCTGTACCAGGGCGTGGATGCTTTTTCCTTTAAGTGCAAGTAAGGAGCCTTAGGTCTGACAGTCAGAAAAATAACAACTCTCCAGACAGCCTCCAGCTGGCAGACAAAGGCAGCACATTTGAGCCTGGCTGAACAACACGGGATAAGCACCTCCTCCACCCGGCAGCCAGAGCCCAGAAAGGTCTTCTCCACCACAGAAACGCCTGCTGGCTCAGGCAGGCACGCAGTCCCCTGACTGCCTGTTAACACGCACACAAACTCCAGCCCCGAGCTCTGCAGAAGCAGAGGAAATACTTCTCACCGGGGCAGCAAACCTCATTGATCGGGCAGCCCAGAGGCTGGCATGGGAAGCAGGTCTGCCCGCCCCTTCAAGAGAAGGCCCCTCCCCTCCAGCCCCCCCCAGAGCACCCCCTTCTCTGGCCCTGCCCCTTTCAAGTGCATTTGGCTTAAGACTTGGCTCTCAGTAGATGCTCAATTATAAGTTAGTTTGCTCCCCACTTCCCCTCTATTGTCCACAGCACTCTGATCTAATAAAGTTTTAAAACATATTTTTAGACAAGTAATAATTCGCATGATTCAAAATTCAAAAGATTCAAAAGGCCTCTTTCTGACCCCTGTCTCTCAGCTGCCTATATTTCTTCTCTCTGGAGGCAACCAGCATAAGCAGCTTCTTAAGCATCTTAGATCTATCTGCAAGTAAGCAATTATGTAAATATACTCCACATCACCCCCCAACACTGATAGAGCTGTTCCAAGTGTGCTGCTCTGCATCTTGGGTTTTCCACTTAATAATACATTTTGGAATTCTTGCCACAGTTCAAAAAGAAGACTTTTTTTTCGTTTTTTAAACAGATGAGGTATATAGCCAGCCAGTGTTTACCAGTCTTCAGAGAGGAGGCACACGTGTGGCGTTCCCAATCATCTCTCTTTCTAAACAGTGCTGCAATGAATACTGCTCCAAATACACCTTTGAACCCAAGTACATCTGTAAGTTAATTCCTAGTTATTTCTTGAGAGTTTCTTCCAGACACAGAATCTGGAGTTAGCAGCAGGGACCTCACAGGTCATACAATCCCAACTCCCACACCACTTAAGTACAATCGGACTAAAGACCTCCCAGGGACGGGGCCCTGCCTAACTCTCCCAGCCAGTCTGCCCCGTTTGCAGAAAGCACCAAGTTATGTAATATTTGTCTTTCTACAGACTTAAACTTTTCCCCCTAAAGTCATCTCCTCTTCCCTAGAAAGGGCTTAGGGATATGTGAAGACAGCTCTTACCTTCCAGATAAACTGCTCTCCTACTCCCAGGCCGCAAGGCCCAACCTGGCATTCAATGACACACCAGTCATTATACTGCAGAAGCCTGAAACCTGAGCAAAGAGCAGGCACTCAATAGAGATCTGCTGAGGTGCCTTCCTTTTCCTTTTCTGCATTTACAGGAGAAAAGTAGGCTGCTAAGGTGAGGAGACTTCCTTACATGGGGTGTTGGGTCCTTATCTCTAGAATGGCCCTACCAGCCGGGATCCCTGAGGGGGTGAATGAGGGAGAACCACTACAGAAAACACCAGGAGGGGTGGAATCCAGAGTGTTCTATCTGCCCTTCTACCCACCAGGCCTGGTCATGGTGAGAGAGGCAGCTGCCTGATGAAAAAAGCACAGTGTCCACTTAATTAACGCCAACAATGAAAAGCTATTTTCCCAAGGCCACACAGTCAGGGTGGGAAAAGCTCAAGTGGAAGGTGACTCCAAGGTGTCTTTTGAAATAAAGTCAAGTCACCTACATTATATATTTCATGATTATCATACAATCAATCACCTAACACCAAAGCCCTGACTGACCTGTAGAGTCAGCGTCTCCTGGTTGCCCAGTTCATGACATTTCGCCAAAGGACCTTTAACAGTCAGGGAGAACAGAGCTGAGTACCTCCTGCATGCCCCAGGGGTTGCCCTCAGGACAACTACAAGTGCCGAGGAAAAGTCCAGCCTCCCCAGCTGCTGGGTGCTGCAGTCTGCAAGCAGGTGCACATGGTACTCTCAGGACCACGCCATCCAACCTAGAAAGTGTGTTTTGCTTTCTGTGAACTGCGGTAGCGAGGCCAGCTGAGAAGGTTCTAGTTTACAGAGGATCTGAGAGTTCTCCCAACAACTTGCAGCCCAGAAGCCCATCCAGCCTTGGTGAGAGCGCAGGGCGAGGAGAGAAGTGGCCGTGACGTCCACGCGGGCAGAGACTGGCACAGCCCTGCCCAGGCCCTCAGCCCGGGCCGTGGAGACTGGAGGAGCCTCATCACCTCATCGCCTCCCCCTGCCACAGCCCCGGGGCCCCAGGACCAGCAAAGGGGGAATGTGGTCATTTCCGGACAAAGGGAGCAGCCACAGAAGACAGATACCGCTCTGATCCTCACACTTCGGGTAGTTCAACTATTGAGGCTTGAGTTAAGAAACAATCTGATTAGGCTCTTTTCCCAGAAACACACTGCATCTCAGGGGAATGTTGGGGGAACAGGCTGGCAGAAGAGAACGCAACAGTTCAACATTCTCTGGTTTTTTTATTGCTTAGGGTCCGTGACATTTTTGGAGAGAGGTGGGAAATGGCCACGCTTTAATAGTGCACTTCATGTCAACCCTATAAAGAACCTATATCTGTGTTTAGTAAAGCCTGAAAGTTATCACCATAATGGACTCATCTATTCAAAAAATGCTTGCAAATATTCCATTTTCAGCAAGTATTCAGGCTTTCCTTTTTTCCTCCTACCTGGGCTGTATAAAATATGTTCTCTGTATGGTCGAAGACAACCAAAACCACACACTAGGGATCCTGCTGCCAAGGCCCTCTCCCATCTGCTGGTTCAGAACACAGGACCCTGGTGCCCACAGGCTGGCAACGGGAAGAGACACTCCATATACAGAGAGGTTCACTCTCCCATCACCATCACCTGGCTGCCAGGAGCAACTCAGATCATGCCAGGCTTTTCCACGGACACTGGGAGTGAGGGGAGGGAGAAGACAGCGCCCGGGCTTTGCTGGGTCTTCTATGCCCCAGAGGCGTGTTGGGCACAGGCAATCCAAGGAAAACCACAGCCTTGGGACAGCAAGGCTCCCGCCCAGGAGGTGGCCCAGGTGAGAAGCCAGGGCGATGTGCAGGAGCTCCATGTGCAAAAACGTCAGGGGAACAGGAGTCAGTCTGGTCGTAAGATGAGCCTCACTGAGAGCAGGAAGGCAAAGGGATCGCCCTTCTTCCCCCTTTTGGGGCAAACGGGAACATGAAGGGAGGTGTTCCTGGAACTGAATCTGGCTCCTAATGTCAGACGCGCCCCCCCAACCCCCACCCCGTCTGTTGCCCAGGGAGCTGTCAGCTCCTGAGGACCCTCTCACGAGGGACAGCTCCTCAGGGCCCTCCCGTGAGATGGAACACACACATTCCCGCTGGGCCTGGACCACCAGGACTGGGGCCGCCGTCTCTCTCTTCTGCTGTCCCGGAGACTGACTCCTTTATTGGCCTGGAGACGCCCCACGCTTGCACTCTAACTTCCCCACTAGCTCTTTTATGGTGTGTCCCAGGGACACAAGAGGACCAATAAAGGTGAGGATCCTGGCTCAAGCTGTTTCTTCCAGAGGCCACACGGCGCCTTGCCCAGAACTGGTACATGAAGGGACCCGGTGACAAATGAGTTACCATTTGTTAAATGCCCAGGCCAGCCTCGTTGCCTCACTAACATGGTAAGAGGGGAAAGGCACCTGACACCTCTCGACCTCAGTCTGGATTCTCTTAACTCCCCTCCGCATTTTTATCTTTTCCCCACTTCCCTGGGTCGCTGGCACAGGGACTTCACACCCCACGACTACCAGCTGGCCCCTTTCCTCAACAGTGCTGCCCAGCCTAGCTCATTGCCAAGCGGACTTGCCACCCCATTTCTCAGGTGAGGACGCTGCAGCTCTGCCCACAGGTCGACGCCCAGCGCCCACCCCATCCCCCACTGATGGCACCACTCTGACGGGCTGAGGCTGCTCTCTGTGGGAGGAACCAGGGGGCAGACCCCCTCCTCAGGCCAGACAGCCCTGCTCGGACAGCGTCCCCCCATTCCCAGGA